GTTGGTCACTACTACCTCATCTGTTTTGTTGCATGGCTTCTGTCATATGTGTATCTCACTTAACTTCTGTAAGGGTTGTTAAAGAGGTGCTTCCATCTTGTTGACAGCATCAGTTCAGTTCAGCCTGGCCAGAGGCTGTATCTTTCTTCTCTACCTAGTCGAGGGGATGGTGTTAATAGCTCCTGGTTAATAATGACCATTGCTCTCTGCTGCAGGAAATAAAGAAGAAGAAAGGAATAAAGGATGAGGTGCAACTGACCAGCAAGCAGAAGGAGCTGATGCATGCGCAGCTGGAAAGGGAGTCTCAGATAAGAAAACGGCTGAAGGAGGTTAAGTTTTGATGGTCTTTTTTGCCAGCTACCCTGGCCCAAGTCATTTTGATAAAAAGAGTAGAGAATATTCAGCAATGAGCTGTTTGTTTCTGTCATTAGAAATTGGATCTGACGGCTTGATTTTATTTCTTTATTGTTAATGGTAACTTTTGAATTTTTTATGGTAACTTTCGAATTATTCCTTTTACAGCTTGATAATGAGCTGGAAACAGCTCTCGGGCTCCTGGGCACTGTTATAAAGAGAAAGCCTCCAGGTCTAACTCAGTACATCCCTGCTCTCATCAGTTCCTTCTTGCCACTTTTTCGATCACCTTTGGCTGCTCCAAGGATTAAGGAACCTTTTCTTTCCTTAGCTTCCTGTGTTATGCCAGCTCAACTGAAAACCTTTGGTTAGTATTTGCAGTTACTGTTTAAGGGCAGGGTGCGTTATTTTTATGGCAGGGCAGTGAAAATCCTTGCTCTTACGAGCTGTGGTTCATGACCATTTGCCACAGAAAACCAAGGGGGAAATCCACTCTGGAACAGTGCTTAGGAAGATGACTGCAAAGTCCCAGAGATCCTATTGCTGGATAAGACTGGGTCCAAAGAGAAAGAGTTGTCTGGTCATTCTAATCACCTCTAAGTAGCAGTTGGTTGCAATGGTACTGTCTCCCTGTGCAGAGTTTGGAGGATGTGAGTGTAATTCACACATGCAACTTGTAAGGAAAGCTGTCCCCTGTAAGCCTCGGGGCTGTGCTTCCTTGCTTGCCTCTTGCAGCCTGGGCTGTTGCCCACATCTGTGCTGTAATTCTTGGGTCTGTGTTCTTGGGGATTTTTCTCTCTCAAGAAATCTCTGGGTTTAGTCCTGTCATGGATTCTTTACTCTTTCATACCAGGTACTTTAGTGAGCCACGTGACCTTGCGCCTGATGAAACCAGAGTGTGAATTAGATGAATCCTGGTGTCAAGAAGAACTGCCTACTGCTCTGAACAGAGTTGTTAACTTGCTGCATGCTCACACCATTCCTGGCCGAACAGGCAAGGGAGAGCCAGGTAAAAAGTACTGTAGATCCCTCTGACACCCCCCCATAACACTGAGCTGTTTCAGGTTTTATGGTTTATGAAGTATTTTATACATGAGACTTCATTTTTTCCTTTTTCAAATTGGATAAATCTTCATAGATATGAAAACCCTTAAGTTTGGGTTTTTTTGTGGGGGTAGTAGTGCAAATGATGTTACAAGTATAGGAAGTGTAGAGATAAAATAACAGGATGGTTTTTTAAAGTGGTCCATTCAGAAATAATAATGAAATCAAGGTTCGTCTTTGCCAAGGACAGTTCCTACCTTTCAACACCACTTAGGCTAAGTGATTCAGTGAGACTTAAGTGGAAAGACAAAATAATTGCTTGTTATCTGTGATGTCAGCAGTGAAGTGCCCGTGGCCTCTGCTTGTTTGCTGTGCAGTGCTGCAGTTCATGAATATTTTATCGTGGCATGGTTGTAGAAGAAGCAGTTCTTTCTCACTCTGACATGAAGGCAGGCACTGGTATTTTTGTAGTGCAAAAATATGATTTGGGTGAAAATGCACCTTTTTTTGTTTGGTTCTGGTTTTGCTGGGTTAGTTTTACTCTAGATCCCTTCCAGAATTTACTTCATGATGGGGTGTGCAAGTACTTGTACTGCTACACTGAAGATAATAGTACAGAAGTGGGAGGGCAGGTGTGCTGCCTTTGGAGGCTAGGATGGATAGCTTAGGCTGCCTTAAAGCATCTGGTGTACTGCAGTGATAGAGTTGGTTCATCCAGGCTTTGGAGTTGGTCATGATGTAGCTCCATCAAGAGCTGCTGCCGTGGATGGTTTGTATTTTTTTAAGGGATATGTAGGATTCTGTTTGGTCCCTTACCCCAGCAGTTCAGTTTTCCTCTTACTGTTCTGTTGCTAATCAGTTCTGCAGTTGTGTGACTGGCACATGTAATCTGCACGGCTGAGTAGCAGCAATTGACCATGTTGAGCACCACTTCAGTGCTGAACATCTCCGTGGTAATTCTGCACTATGCAATTTATTTCCATAGTAAGTGCAGGTTCATTAACATTGGAATCCATTTTCAGGCTTATTTCCAGAAAGCAGTGGCAGGCTTTTCAATCCTTCAGTATTTCCTACAGTGCTTAAATGAATACCTGGTGGTTTTTTCACTTCTGCAAGAGAAAGGAAATAGGTTCCATTGCACTTTGTTGGACAAGTTATGTTATACTCCCAAATGATTTTTCCTCATTTTCAAAGTTCTTTGGAGTGTAGTCTTGCAATATGATTTAGTAGAGGTTAGTTTCTTAAGTCACCATGAGACCCAAGAGGGACCATAACTCTTGTAATGTGGATGATAAATCATTCATTGCTGAAACGCCAAGACACGTTTTATAATCTCTTTTGTATTGGTCAGTACTGGCTACTGTGTTAATAGAACATTTATCTTCCAAGATCGAGCTTGCTTCCTCCTCCTGCACATAGAGGAGCAGTTGCTTGAGCTTAAAAATAGCTTGCTGATAATTACAAAAACCAGGCAAAAATAAAAGCATCAGAGCAAACAGATCCTGAGCAAATGGCAAAATCCCACATCGCAAACGGAGGTGTTTGACCGAAGCTATTCCTGTTGAGCAGTTAGGAGCTCACAGTGCTTTTGGTACTTAATATTTCTCTCTTGAACTACTTTTGCAATGTCCGTGCCCTACATAAGCTGACTAATACTGCAGTATTGTATCTGCAGTGCTCTTCCTTTGCATCTTAGAAACGTTATATCTGGCATTCTCTGGCAGCACAGAAAGTAAACGCTTTCCCTAGACGTCTAATACTTGAAATTTAACTGGACTGACTGGAGAGGCCTGGAAGGAGCATTTCTGTCCCCTAGCCCTGTGAGAAGGGAGGAGCAAAATCTTTACCAGTAGGAATCCAAAAGCTTTAACTTTTCTCAAGGGGGGAGAAGACGGAGCTGAGACTTGCACCAGAATTAGAGGAATCTCATTCTCAAGAATGCAGCTGAAGACTGGAATGACAGGTTAGCTAGGTTGGTAGGAAGCGTTCAACGGGAACATGGCTGGCAAACAGGTCCCTGCTTTGGGGCAAATGAACTTTAAAAGGGAATGAGTGAAACTGCATCAGATCCCTGTGTGGATCCTCAAGTGTTTCCAGGATAGACAAACTCAGGTTTGCCTGTCTGCAGTCCACTGAGTTGCTTCAGTTTCATTTACAGTGTGTATTTTCACACTGTTGAAGCATTGGAATTAATTTGGAATCCTAATGCTGACTTAGTTAAAGCCAGCTCGTTGATGTTGCAAGCAACAATATTGGGTGGAATCACAGAATCATTTAGGTTGGAAGAGACCCTCGGCATCATGAGGTGCAGTTGTTAATCTGACACTGAAACAGGTAGCAGTACTGTTGCTGCTAAGTGAAATGCCAGAGTGGTAGAGGCTGAACAGGTTGTGTGCACTGCTTTGAACAGGTTAAGTCCACATACATGTGTATTGAAGGTGTCCCTTAGACTGGGTATGTCTAGAAGTGAATGTCATGTTTGTACATGAGGCTGAAGCTGGCTCCATCCATTATGAGCTACCAAAGTGTGCACGTTATACCAGGCAGTATTAGAAACAAAGATGTGAGATCAGCTCTGCTCACAGGGTTGTATTTCCTTTTCCCAGGTGCTGCCCCGTTGTCAGCTCCAGCATTTTCCTTAGTCTTTCCTCTCCTAAAGACGGTTATAACTGAGACACCCCACGACAGCGAAGACCAGGAGGAGTTCCTGGTCAGTATTCTGCAGATCCTTACGGTCCATGCTCAGCTGAGATCGACAGCAAATGGCCAGGCTTTGCTGGTGGATGAGGTGAGCAAGAGCTGCGGGGATCAGATGTCCTCCTTCAGCAGCTGTTCAGATGAGGCATGGGGTAAACCAGATGATGTAAACTGGACAAAGTAATTCTACAGGGTAGAGTTAACGATGGAAGATTGTTTTCTCTCCCAGGTTTTAGTTACCTGTCCTGCCTTAGGTTTTAATTGTGATGTTTATAAGGAGCGTCATACACAGAAAAGGCACTTTGGAGTCACAAGACATAAGGCTTTTTCTTTCTCCCTCCAACCTTTCAGAATGGCCCAGAGCTGCTGCCCCGGAGGGACATGCTGGTTCTGCTGACCCGGGTGATAGGAACAGGTTCTCCACGATTACAGGTGAGTCCTCTGCTTCATAACTGTGGCTAGGATTCTGCCTAAGTTTCATCAGCATCTAGGTGAGGGAAATGCACCCACCTGGTTTAAGTCTCTCAGGCTGGTGCTTGATACACTATCAGTTTTCTGCTGTGTTTATGCTGTTCTTGGAAGAAAATGTCTACATCTTTTTTTTCCTGGGGGCTTTATTGCACCAAACACACTCATCAGCCTTCCACAGGTGAGATTTTTATTCTTTCTTTATGGCTTTACTCTGTCAGAGAAGTTCAGGAGCTGCTTCTCTGAGTGTTCTAAGGGATGAGATGGCAGAAGGGTCAATAACAGCAAAAAGGCAAAGGATGAGTTCAGCTGGACTGAACTCATCAGTTCTTGCTTTTTGCCACTTTGTTCTTTGAGAATTTCTTCTCTTGTGATAGCACTCAATCTCCCCCATGCTTGCTTTGACAGAAGAAGTCAGTGGTGGACTCTCTAATACTTCCTCATGGCATTTTAGGTTTTGGCTTCCAATGCACTGACCGCCCTGTGTGCAAGCAGCAGCGGGGAGGATGGCTGTGCCTATGCAGAACAGGAGGAGATCGATGTGCTGCTTCAGGCCCTGCAGTCTCCATGCATGAATGTTCGAGATGCAGCTCTCAGGGTAGGTGGGAATCATTCAGGGTCACAAGTGAATGTTCTCTAACACTGTTAAAGAGAGGCTTCAGTTCTGGCAGCGTGTCTGCAGGAGGAGGCAGTAGCTACTCAACAATAATGCTCTAAGTAATGCTCTGTGCTAGATTTATTTTGGGTCTACCCACACCTTTCTTTTGTTAAAACAGGTGTGATTACAACACCTTCTATTTAGAGTTGCATAGAGCTTAGTCTCAAAGAGAGAAGCTGTCAAAAAAATCTTAACGCCTGTATTGGGCCCAGTGTTTCTGGAAAGCTTCAGGCTTAGTCACTTCTTGAGAGCATACAGAAAGAAAAACCCAAGGCTGCCTGGTTTTCTTTGTCATTAAACAAATTTCAGCTTGGCTTACCTGAGCTGGCTTCTCTGTACTTAGAAGGAGAAAAGACTGTAGTCAACAGAACACAACCTAGTACCTACTTACCTCTCTGCAACTGCCTGTGGAGTGCTGTTCTTGGGTTTCACCATCTCACCTGGAAGTCCTTGATCAGCACAGGCCGTGTACTGCACGAGAAGACATGAATTTCGACACTGAGAGCTTGACTTGACTAAAGTTTTAAGCGTTTTAAAGCATCTGTTTCTAAAATCAGATCCTTACACTGATTCTGCTGTGAACTCATTCAGGGACTGATGGAGCTGCAAATGGTTCTACCAACCCCAGACAGCGATGAAAAGAATGGACTGAATCTGTTGCGTCGCCTTTGGGTGGTGAAATTTGACGTGGAAGATGAGATTCAGAAGTTGGCAGAGAGGTAAGAGCTCTTCCTGGCTGGCTGGATTGTGACAGGACCTCTCCTCTGCTCCCCTCCTGGAGCTCCAGTGGCAGGGGTTTTGCCTCCCATAAGTAGAGAGGGGAGCTTTAGGTCACCTCAATACCTACATGTAGCTGTGGCTTTTCTAACTGAAGGGTGATCTGTCCCCTCTTTGTGTGTGCTGCAGGTTGTGGGAGTCCATGGGTCTGGAGCTGCAGCCTGACCTCTGTTCTCTGCTGATCAAAGATGTCATCTACCATGAGGAAGCAGTGCGACAAGCAGGTGCTGAAGCTCTTTCCAGAGCTGTGGCTCAGTATCGAAAGCAAGCAGCAGAGGTCATGAATAAACTTACAGAGATTTACCAGGAGAAGCTCTATGTAAGTACTCTTGTCCTAAGGGATTGACAGGCACAAGCCTGTGCTTTTCATTAATCACTTTTCCTTTTGTCTGTCTTGAGGATGTGCATGAAGCCTACTGTTGCTGTGTTAGAGCTTATCACAGACTTTATTATCTTGAGCCTCAAGCTGTCAGCTAGTAGTGGCAGCATTGTACAGATGGAAGATGTGCCTTAGATGACACAGGAATACTGTGGCACAGCAGGGTCAGTCCAAGTCATTCTGGGCCTAAACTGCTAGTTTTTTTTACTATGCTCTTCTGCTAGTGGTATCATATCTCTGTGCAGTGTTACAAAAGGGCATTGCAGGTATGGTCACAGTATTCTCTGCGTGCCTGTCCTTGGAAAAGGCATTCTGATGACATTTTTTCTCTTTCCAGAGGCCACCTCCAGTTTTGGATGCTCTGGGACGAGTGATATCTGAATCACCGCCTGACCAGTGGGAAGCAAGGTACAGTCATCTTCAGATTGATCTCATCACTTCCTGGGCTTCCAGATGAGGTGTTCTAGGTTTTTATTTAGAAGATCAGGCAGTGGAGACATAAGGGAGCGTTAAAAGAGCAAAGTCCATGCACTTGTATTGACTTGCTGGTTTCATGTGTCCTTTAGGTAGAGAATATTTGTGCCCCTGAAGCAGGCTGGGCAAGCAAAAGTAAAATGCTCTCAATTCCCACAAAATGTTGGGCACCATCTTCCTTATGTCCTGATAAGAACAGAGTCTTTCCCTCTTAGACTGCCTTATTTTTATCTTGCCTTACTGTATTCCCACCCCTGTATGGGCAATTGGTTGTTTTGAGAGCAGCAGTGCAAGCCTTAATGAACTGGACAAATTCCAATTGGGATAATTATTTTTCTGTCTACTTGTAAGTCCTATACAGGCTCAGGTGGAGATGATCTTGTTCACTACCTGTCTTAAGCTAATCTGCTCTTTCGTGCTGATGTATCTTGTGAAGCTGCTGTATTTCAGCAGTAGATGAAGTGGTCTTGATCACTTGAAGTGATCCTTGAGTCTTTGTTGACCCAAGTGTCTGTAATGCTTAATCAGGATAGAAGCCATTACATAGCTGAAGGAACCTGCAGCATGAGGTTATGTGCTGAAATGAATGTAGGTTGGACACTGAAGCTCTTCAGTTTCACAGAATCATAGAATGGTTTGGAAGGGACCTTAAAGCTCATCCAGTTCCAACCCCCTGCCACGGGCAGGGCCACCTTCCACTAGAGCAGCTTGCTCCAAGCGGTTTTATCCTGGTTCTCTCTCCATCTCTGTAATGTGCTGATGATAGCAAATGTGACTGTGACCTTGGGCAAATCCTGTGAGAAGTGAGGAAACTTAGGAGCTCACCATCTTTACAGGTGTGGCATAGCTTTGGCCCTCAACAAGCTCTCACAGCATCTGGACAGTTCTCAAGTGAAGCCCCTCTTCCAGTTTTTTGTACCGGATGCTCTGAATGATCGCAGTCCTGAAGTCAGGAAGTGCATGTTGGATGCAGCTCTTTCAACGCTCAACACTCATGGCAAAGTAAGTCTGAATGTTTCTCTCTCTAGCAGTGGAAAAAGATGGAATGAAAAAGTAGATACTGGGTCCAGAGATTCATTTTATTAAGTGATATGTTTTGTCTTTTTCATTCCTTTGAGGTTTCTGTTACTTGTGAGAGCCGAAAACTTTCATGTAGTAGGAACTGTGTGTTCAGAGTTGTTCTGTTAGTGACTGGTGTTCACTAAGTGTAGTTCTTCCCTGTTATTGCTATAAAAAAGGAATAGCCCTGAATCATTTGGAGTTAAAATGGTGTAAAACTGGAGTGACAAAAGTAAAGTCGGACCACAGATCTTTTAATCCTGGAAGGTGAGAATTCATGCAATGCCAGATGAGAAAGCTTGTCAATAGTTGGCTTAATTAAACTGAAACAGAACTGGAGTCATTCAGGCAATTGAGGACCATCCATATTCTCACTGCTAGCTGTTCTCCAGCAGTGCTAGGTGGGGAAGGTGAGCAAAGGTGTAACTCGCTCAGCTTCAGTTTTCCTCATATATGCCAGTCACCAGTTCTGGACAGCTCTCTGTGTTCCTGATAGGCCCAAGACAGTTGGAGTATTTTCATATTATTCCTTCCTTCTGTTTCTCAGAAAAGCAGTGAAGTTTGGTTTATGGTTCTGTTCTCCCTTTGCAACTGGAGCAAGCAAAGGAGAGATGCTGGGGTTTAGGCTAGCAGTCTGGCCTAGGTGCTTGCCTTGCTCCTGATAGACATCACACCAGCAGTGTTGGGGGATCTGATTTTTAAGAGCTAACTTCTCTCTGGCAGGAAATACTGGTTGCCTGTTGGGATGGCACGAGGTTTTATGTGATGTGACACATTAAATGAACTATAATACAGTGTGTTCAGTTTGTTGGCTCAGAGAAGACAAACAAGTCCACTGAGCATGGCAGATCTCATCCTGAGTGGACTCTAGTGGCACGTTCTGTGGTTTTGTTTTTCAGGACAATGTTAACTCTCTCTTGCCAGTGTTTGAAGAATTCCTGAAAAATGCTCCTAATGATGCCAGTTATGATGCTGTCAGGCAAAGCGTGGTCATTCTGATGGGTTCACTGGCAAAACATCTGGACAAGAGTGACCCTAAAGTGAAACCGATTGTTGGCAAACTGATAGCAGCCTTGTCCACACCATCTCAGCAGGTAGGTGCTGCCTTGGAGGACCCCCCAGTTTCCATGCAGAGGCAGGTTAACTTCCATGATACTTCCAGGGATGTCAGAGAGATGAAAACCAGCTTTGGTGACAGAAAGCTGTCACTGTGGGTGCAGGCTAGGAGGAAGTTATGCTGGTGATGCCTGTTTTGTGATCTGATAGCTGGTGGGATTGCTTTACAGGTTCAAGAGTCAGTGGCAAGCTGTTTACCACCTCTGGTGCCTGCAATTAAGGAGGATGCAGGAGGAATGATACAGAAGCTAATGCAGCTGCTTTTAGAGTCTGATAAGTATGCTGAGCGCAAAGGTGCAGCTTATGGGCTGGCAGGCCTGGTGAAAGGCCTTGGCATCCTCTCTCTCAAGCAGCAGGAGATGATGACCACGCTGACTGATGCTATCCAGGACAAGAAGAACTTCCGTCGGCGTGAGGGTAAGGGGAAAAAGCTTTTTCCTCCAAATATTTCATATTCCTTTTGTACATGCTGCCGTTGTGGTCAGATCAAATGATGCCTGAACCCCTGTGCTTGGGTCATCTACATGTATTTTACTAATGTTTGCAGAGAAAGGAATGGGAAGTGTCTGTCATGAGGCCACTGGTTGTGTAGAGTGTCCTAAAAACTGCTCTTATTTGCATTGTGGTGGAGGAAAGGTTTCTGGTCCTAGACAATATGCATGGTGCTTTCCCTCCTGTTTTCAAAGGCAGGTGTTGCTGGGCAGGCTCCTGCTTTCTGTGGGACAGTACATGTTAAATGAAGTCGTGTTTTCCTCTGACTGTCCTTTTTGGGGTTTTTAGGGGCTCTGTTTGCCTTCGAGATGCTCTGCAGCATGCTTGGAAAGCTCTTTGAGCCCTATGTGGTTCATGTGTTACCTCACTTGCTGCTTTGTTTTGGAGATGGGAACCAGTACGTGCGAGAGGTAAGATGCCTTAAATTTCTGGGGACATAGAGTGTTAAGAGAAAACTGAAATGGAGTAGATATGAATGCTGTTTGTAACAAGGCAAATTGAAATCCCTTGAGATACCACTAATAACAATTGGATCTTAATAACTGAAAGCATCCTATTTCATTGGGTGTTAATTGGGAACAACTTGGCTAGCCAAGTTGTACCAAGGCACTATTGTACATGAAGGCTTTGTTCTCGTTGAGTCTCTGAGGAAGGAAAAAATGTGTTGTGACACAGCTTGTGAATATTCTCTTCTCCTTGGAGGCTGCAGATGACTGTGCCAAAGCTGTGATGAGCAACTTGAGTACTCATGGAGTGAAGCTGGTTTTGCCATCACTTCTTGCAGCACTGGAAGAGGAATCCTGGAGAACTAAAGCTGGTATGGGCCCATATCTGACTGACATGACTGAGAGTAACCCACAGTTCCCTTTGCTGTCATTCCCCTTGTTTATTCCTTCATTCTTGCAGGTAGCTCTGATAGTTTATTGTCTCGTAAGAGACTGTGGAATTGTCAGCTTTTGAGATACAGATGACTTCCCTGACACATTTGAGTAACTTTTTCCTCCCCAGCAGATTCAAGGGTCTCTCTTTACCCTCTATCCCTTTAGAAGTACTGCAGAAGCTGAAAGTTGTGTCCCTGTCCTGTTCTCTTCCCCACCCTCCCTTCTTTTCCCTGGTATATCTCTCTACAGGTACTCCAGAAGCTGGAAGTTCCCCCTTGGCTCTTTCTTTTTCT